TAATAAGTGGGTCACTTATTAGATAAGGACTAAAGTACACTTACACTCTTAAAATCTTTGGCCCAACCTGGCCTGGCATGCATCAGGCACCATCCTTCTTATCAGATTTGTTTCAAGAATGGTGGTACTTTACATCAGTGACAATGAAAACATCACACCCCCAGATTCCATTGGTAGTCAGTTCTTTTAGGGTCATTCTTTGCCATTTAAATGTCTTGAGCAAAAAGGAAGAGCTGCTAAACAGTCCAAGAAAAGCAAGCATTCTACATATAAGAACTCTGGTAATGCCAAGCAGGGGCAAAAGCCAGAAAAAGAGGGCCCTCAGTAACATGACTGAGAACAACAATCAAATAAAAGCATTGAAAAAGTCCTTCACTCCTTCATTTCCCCTCACTCTCTATAGCCAATCAGTTGCCAAAGAAACCAATCAGTAAACATTTACTAAGTTATGTGCCAGGACCGTATGAATGCTAAGGAAAGAAAGACTGAAGGAGCTTATACCCTAACAAGGGAGATAGTCCTGTCTATTCTACCTATACAGCATCTCTCCCATTGACCCCCTCCTCTCCTCCCAAACGATCACTCTCCTAGTTCAGACAGTTATCGTCTCTGTCCTGGTCTACTGTAATAGCCTTACTAGCAGCACTGCTTCCAGTCTCTCTCCTCCTCATTTGGTCCTTAACGTAAACTGCCAATATATATGTAATGAATGTTTCTAATCATGCCAATCTTCTATTCAAAACCTTAAATGACTCCCACAGGATCAAGTCCAGACTCCTAATCCTGTTATTCAAGGCTCTCTACAATCTTTTAACACTCTTGTTTTCCACGATTTTCCTCTTCATGAACTCTGTGCTCCTGCCCAATTGATCCGCTCTCTGGCCCCTCAGGACCACTTTGCCACCACTCCCAGACCACATTTGTCAGATGCTTACCCATTCTTTGAGGTCCCAGTCAAAAGCTACTTCCTCTAGGAGGACTTCCCTGATCCTTCCCACCAGCCAAAGCCAGAAGATACCTCTTTCTCTCCTATGCACCCACGCAGCATGACGTCTTTCCCTCACTGCATTGATTAGCCTTGGGCTTGCTCAGTAGTTACTAGCTGTGCCCTGATCTTTTCTACCCTACTACACTAGGAGCTCACTGGGGTGTGGGGAAAGTGAGAAGGAAGGGATATATCTTGTCCTTTATAGTTTATAAGGAGTTTTATTGACCTGATTTTAGTAGATCCCCCCAATACTTCTGCAAGCTATTCTGTAGAGTAGGCATGATTTCAGTTCAATTCAATAAATATTTAATTAATGCCTACTATATGTATGGTCTTTGGGATACACAGACAAAACCAAAATAGGTCCTGATTGCCAAGAGTTTACTGGGGCATTGGAAGGAAGGGAAAGAGGGAGAGACAAGAGGTACACAAATAAATACATAAAAGGTAATTTGAGGAGAGAGCACTAACAATTGAAGAGTCACTGAAGCTTCCACAGAAAAAGTAAAATCTGAACAAAACCCTGAAAGAAGGTGAGGACAGCACAGAGGAGGAAGGATTATATTCCAGGTATGGGAACAGCTTGTACAGAGACAGAAGACAGAAGATCAAGTTAGGGGGAAAAGATGCAATAAGACTGGAAAACTGGATTGGAGCCAGATTGTGAAGGGTTTTAAAAGATCAGGACAAGGAATTTGCAATGAATCCCAGAGGCATTAATAAGAAGCCAGAGAAGATTTCTGAGCAAAGTGGTGATGTGATGAGACTTGTTCCTTAAATTTTTTTTGGGGGGGGGAAGAGACCTGTGTAGAAGGGGAAGAAAGTGAACAGGGTTATCAGCTAGGAAGTAATTACAATGCTTCAGGGGAGAAGTGATTAAGGCTAGGACTTGGGTAGTAAATATAGAAGTGAAGAGAAGGGAAGGATTTGAACGATATTATAGAGGCACAATTAATAAGACTTGGCAACCCATTGGAGATGGGGATGGAGAAAACTGAGGCCCAGAGAGAGTAAGTGATTTGCCCAAAGTCTCTTCGGCCGCGGATAAATGAGGCAGGATTTGAACTAGTCTTTTGGATCCACATTGGGTATTTCTTCTACCACATCACAGCTGCCTGGGCATATGTCTTTATTCCCCTACTATGAGGCCCTTGAGAGGAAGGATTATGTCTCTTATTGATGTATTGATCTGTATTTTCCAAGCACAGTCCCTTACAGATAGAGGGCACTTAAGAAACGTTTGTCCAGGCAATTACTGGCTGCCTAATGAGTTCCCCTGCAAGGAATCTTAGCACACAGAATGTTAGAACAGAGAACACTGAACCTGAAAAAAAATTCATAACAACAAAATGTTAGAGCTGGAAAGGACTTAGAGTAGAGACCATCAAGAACTAACTAAAAGGACTCCGTAGTACACAAGCTAATGTATATAGAAGGGACTTTAGAAAAGCATTTGGGTGAGGAGCAACAGATACAGAAAAAGAAGTGATGCTCTAGAGGAGGTGACTACAGACCTCTTGGACATGAAGAATTAGATGAGCAGTTTAGGAACTTCAACTCTCTAGGTATTGGGGGTGTTTTCTTTCTCTCATTCTATACTAACTGGAGCAGCTGATAAATATGTGAACTTCTTTAGTGAAAACTTCATCCTTCAAGAGGTGAAAGAGGAAACAATGGAAATGCTTATTCGACACCTAATTCTAACAAAGAATTAGAAAAAAACAGGAACCTTGGAAGTACATGACCATTTCATTAGAGTCTGTGCTAGGGAAGGAGAGAGAGTGGTACATGGACACTCTAACTTGTGGAAGAAGATTTCAAAGATTCAGCAGCAGAAGCAAAGACAAAGGAAGCTGGCTCAAGAGGACTGAGAAGCTCTTAAGAACAAAGTTCTGAGGGCCCAAGAGAAATTCTTCCAATGACGAGGAAAAGCAGGCACTGCCCCCAAAAGACTAAAAAGTGTGGTTACACAGGCAGCTCATCAAATTCAGATTTTAAAAAGGCTTGCACAGAATACAGGAGTGAGTGTAAATAACTCAAGATGGACACAAAGGAAAAGCGGGCCTAGTAAGAATGCATCTGCAATGCTAACATACAGGATAAGCTGAGGCTAGCAAGGAAAACTAAAAACAGAAAGAAATTTGGAATGAAGGACAAGGAAAAGGATCACAGGAAGGATAATGCTGCTGTTTAGGGCAGACAGGCTGTGAAGAAAAAGCTAAGAAGGCGACACTACTCAACTTTTTTTATTCTGCTTTTATTTTCCAAGGAGAATGATCTTTGGATTGAAAAGGACAGATCAAAAATTATTCACAGGGAGTAAAAAGCCAAGATAAGGGGGGAAATAGTCCAACAGTATCTAGCAGTTCTCAATGAGTTTCAAGTCACCAGTCTTGTAAAAATTATATTTGAGAAGATGTAATTTCTGAGTTGCTATTATCAATCTCTGCAAGACAGAGAAAAGAGGAGGTGTTGCAGGAATGGAGAAGGACAAACATCCCAATTTTTTAAAAAAGGGGGGGAAAGGAAGAGGGTAGAATCTGCAAATTGGAGACAAGTGAGCTAGAGTTTTTATTTCCTGGCAAAATTCAAGAACATATTAAGAAGATGACTTCTGTACACTCAGAAAGGGAACAGTGATCATTAAAAGCATGCCTAGCAGGTCATGCCAGATTAATTTCATTTCCTTATCTCACAGGGTAGATTGGTATAGCAAGTGGATACTATAGGCATAGCTTACTGAGATCTTAGCAAAGCATATTATAAGGTTTTGTATGCTATTCTAGAGTTTAAAATGGGAGAGGTAGCATGGTGTAATGGATAGTGAACAGGCCTCTAAGTGAGGAAAACCTACTCTGTGTAGGGAGGAAAGTCCTACTTTGACATATACCTGCTGTGTGATGCTGGGCAAGTCACTTAATACCAGTTAGCTCTCTAAGACTCTATGTTGCATAATAGCTGCTGATCTGCACTGGCAAAGTTTTCTTTAACCAGGTTCTTCACTGGGAGGCATTCCTGGTGTCCATGAAATTAAGTAGAAGGAGGAGGAGAGAAGTAGATACAAAATGATGTCAACCTGGAAGGAGTTGTGGGTGCCCCAAAGATCATGTATGAAGGCATAGATGACATACTTGTCAAATTTTCAGCTGACATGAAGCTTATAGGGCTAGCTAACAAATCGGACAAAAGTCAGAATCCTAAAAGATTTTGATAGGCCAAATTAATGAAGTTTAATAAGGATAAATGTAAAAAGTACGGCACAGATTCAAAAATCAATTTTACAAATGCACAATGGAGAAGGTATAGCTAGACAGCAGGTCTTATGAAAAAGATCAAGGATTGTAGTGGACTATAAGCTTAGTGTGAATCAACAATATGACACAGTAACCAAAAAAGCTAATGTTATCCTAGGTTGCATTAAGAGAGAGAATAGTGTCAGCTTACTCTGCACTGGTCAGACCACACAAGAATACAATGTTCAGGGAATCAAATTTTAGAAAAGACACAAGACAAACTGGGGAATGGCCAGAAGAGGATGGTCAAGATGATAAGAGGATTAGAAAACATGCACAATGAAGATCAGCTGAAGGATCTGCAAAGAACCCCTAGAAAGCCCACAAAGGTGTTGCCTTTAAGTATATGAAGAGCTGTCACGTGGAAAAGGGATTATGCTCATTCTGCTTGGTCCTAGAGGTCAGAACTGAGAACAGAGGTTTCAAGTTGTAAAGAGGGACATTTTAGCTGGCAGTAGGAAAACCTTGCTAATGATGAAAGCAATACCAAAATTGGAATGAGCTTTCCTAGGAGGTAAAAGGTTTTCAAGCAAAGGCTATAAAACTATTTGTTGGAGATATCATCAAACATTTGTACTAAATACTTCTAATCCAGTTCTTAATCTTATCCAGTTCTTAAATTCCATAATTAGCACATGGATTATGAGAACACGGACATTGTGTATTGGAAAGAACCTAACACTGGAAGGGTACTTGTGTGCTCACAGGGTTTCTCTTACCTTTCCTGTTCATCCCCATCTGCAGGCACTTGAGCAGGCGGCAATACTGACATCGATTCCGCTGTTTCCGGGACATGACACAATTCTTGTCACGACTGCATCTGTATACCCGCTTATTACAAATGCTCCTCTTGAAAAACCCTTTGCAGCCTTCACAGGAAATGATACCATAGTGCAACCCTGTAGCTCTGTCTCCACAGATAAGGCAGGTTCGCTGTTCAGCTCGATCATCTGGAACAGAAACTAAAAAAAACCTTCATGTTAAAAAATGTCCTGTGAACTAAAACAAAAATTTAAAGACTGTGGTATTGCCACAGGTATCTTTCCCCCATGAGTCCCACCTGATTTAAGGAAATGCCAGAGTCTGGTATGTACTCTGGGAAACTCAGAAAACCTATGGGAAAGTCCAAGCTGTACAACAAGAGACTGCAAAGTCTCTCAGAACACAGAATGCTAAAAGATACTCTTGAATGGTAAGTCGGAAACGGATCTTAGCTCTCATCTAGCTCAGCCTTCTCATTTTGGAGACAAAGAAATGGATAAAGGAAGGGATTTACCCAAGGTCATTAAGTGAGTAGCAGTGCTGAGATGGGAAGATAGGTTTTCCTAGTTCCCAGACACTGGCCAATCTACTCTTTAGTTCAAAAGAAGCAATAGCTTAATAGCCACATTTCCTTCTCCTCTTCCTGTTAAAAGTGTCCATAAGCAGTTGAAGCCAAGGTTAAAAAAAACTAGCTAAGTGGCAAATTAAATAGCTACACCAGGAAATGTAGGGGACAGAGTCGATCAAAATACAGTATTGTTGCCCTAATGCATTGTTTTTCTGGTACATAGTAACTCTGGTGCCTGAATGCACTGGTAAAATTAAAATTCAACAGGTGCTTATGTGAAGACATTACATTCAAGGCACTGAGTTTCATGGTAGGAGACATGAAGAAACAAAAACCACACTATCTGTCCTCAAAAGAGCCTATAAGACCTACATACTCTATCTTTATTGACACCTTAGGAGAGGCAGCTTAGGGTATTCAAAACAGTAGGACTTCAGTTCAATCCTGCCTCTAACACACACAATCTTTGTATTACTTACTACAACCCTGGGGAAGTTACACAGACTGAGTGTCAAAGTTGCTACCCTGCTCCTTATGCCAATGAAATCACAGGCCCAGTCTCTCTCCCTGTCACTAAAGACACTTCACCTTATTTCCAACAATTATTACTTCAGATCTTTTCTCCTCTCACTACTAACTCACTAATAATACTTACAGCAAATGACTTTCATTAAAAAGCCTGAGGACTTCTGACAGGGATGTCCTTAGTATCCCTGCTCTAGTCCTGAAAACTTCTCATACGCAGCACCTTTTCCTTCATCCTCTCCTTAAATTACAGATGAAGATATCCCTACTACACATTAAGGCTAATCTTTCTACATCCGCCTTTGGTTCAATATACTCTATTTCCTAAAAGTCCTGAAATGATGAGTAGGATGGTTTCAGAAAAACGATCCAAGACTTACATGAAATGATGCAGAGAAACTGAGCAGAACCAGAGAAACATTAAACACATTAACAGCAATATTTTAACTATGATAAACTGTGAAAGACTTAACTACTCTAATCAGTGTAATCATTCAAGACAGTTCTGGAGAGCTTACAATGAAAAATGCTTATCCACCTCCAGAGGACAGAGAACTGATGAGTCTGAGTACAGATGGAAGCATATTTTTTTCACTTTATTTTTCTAGCCTTTTTTTTTAAGCAACATGGCTAATATGAATATATGTTTTGCACAAATTCACATGTATAATTAATACCACATTTCTTGCCTTCTCAATAGATGGGGGAGTTGCAGGAGGGAGTCAGAGAATTCAGAACTCAAAAAACAAACACTACACCAAAATAAATAATTAATAAATTCGGGAAAAAAAGAATAACTAAAAGTCCATCTTCTTCACATAGTTATCTTCTTTCTCATGCATCTTCAAGCCTCCTGTGGAAATGTTTATTTCTCATTTGCCTATGAACATGCCTCCTGGACTCACAACTAAATTATACCCAATACACCTCAACTACATCAACACCTACTTTCTCCTCAACTCTGCCCCCACCATGTTACTGAAACTGCTCCTTTTAAGGTCACTGATGGACTTACTATTCAGAGCCAATGTTCTTTTACTCAGACCTCATCCTCCCTGACGTCCAGGCAACTTTTGACCATTCCACTGTAGATGGTCTCCTCCCTCAGCATGAAATACCTCTCTCCTTCTACCTCTCTATGCCATTCCTTCTTTTTAAACATAATTTTATCTTCATAATATATGAGTGAAATAAGCAGGAACAAGTGATAACCATCTATATTTTAAAGAGAGAAATACTGTTACAAGGTAAAAGAATTGTTCAAAGTTGCCCTTAAGGAAATGGAAGACTACATTTAGAGCCTCTTAACCTTCAGATTTATATTCTGTTCATTATTTTTATATCCTGAACTGTTGACCACTTTATTGTCTCTTTCATTAGCTCATTCTCACCCATCTCTACTTGCCTTTCTCTTTTCTCTGTACCATCCCTATAGTAATTTCATTAATTCCTACAGCTTCAGCTTTTACTTTTATACTTTTGTGCAGACAATTCCCCAAATTTCATCTATGGCATTGACCTCTTGACTTTGGATCTGCTTCTTTAGCTTCTTTAAGGATATTTCAACTTATATGTCCTACTGACATTCAATATATTTGAACTCAACATGTTCAAAACTGATTATCTTTTTCCCTACATCTTGTTCTGACTTAACTTTCTGTAGTACTAGAGGATAGTACTACAGTCAAATTTGTAGGAAATTACTCAAACAGTGGATGAAAGATGGACTGGAGGGGATAAAGGCTTGGAGACAAGAAGATCATTTAGGAAGGTTATTATTATAGTCCAGGCAATAAGGGTTTGAACTACTACTACAAGACCAGTGGGACAGAGAGGATATTATTTTGGAGTCAGAATGGAAAGGATTAGATTAGAAAGGTGAGGGAGGAGGAATTTAAAGATGACTTTATGATTACAAGATTAGGAGACTAAAGACCCTCAAAAGAAATTAAATTAGGAGGAGCAACTGGTTTAAACTAGAAAAGGAATTTGTTTTTGACATTTTCTTGAATTTGAGGTGCCTCTGGATATGCAGTAAGAAATATCCAGCAAAGAGTTGGAAATGCAGGATTGAAATTCAAGAGAAAGGTTAGTGCAAGCCTGCACAACCTGTGGCCCAAGGGCCACTTATGGCACACCAAAGGATTTCGGGTGGCCCACAAAAAATGTAGAGGAAAAAATCTTCCCACCACAGGTTGTGAAGACCTGGGTTAGCTGTTGATCTGTAAGACAATCATCCTTAAATAAGTGGTAACTAGTGTGTTACAAAACCTCCACTGGGTCCTCACTTCTGCAAGGCAATCCTTCTACACTTCCTTTATAAACTCACTCTCCCAATCTTCACAGTGTCTCTTCCAAACCTTTTCATTCCTCCTCAAACCTTCCATGGCCACCCCTCCTCACACCTCTCAGCTGAGAACTTTGCCTCATATTTTACAGAGAAAAATTGAGGCCATTCACTGAGAGCTCCCTCTTCTCCCCTCCTCCTCAATTCATAGTTATTCAAATGGCTTCTCCCATTATCTCCTCCTCCACCTCTGTCTCAGACAAAGAGGTAGCCCTACTTCTAACCAAGACAAACTCTTCTATCTGTACATGTCAATTCATTCTATTGTCTCCTCCAACACACTGCTCCCTCTGTCATCCCCACTCTGTCACTTATTTTCAGTCTCTTCCTGTTTACTAGCTCCTTCCCTACTGCCTAGAAACATGTCCATGCTCCCCTATCCTGAAAAAGCATGTACTTGATCCTTTTATCTCACCTAACTACTATCCTATATCTCTCCTGCGTTTTGTGACAAAACTCTTTGACCTCTACTCTCATTCTCTTCTTAATCTCCTACAATTCAGTTTCCAACCTCATCCTTCAATTGAAACTGTTCCCTCCAAAGTTACCAATGATATCTTAATCGCAAATCAATGACCTTTTCTCAGTCCTCAGTCTTCTTGACTTCTCTTCAGCCTATGACACCACTGATCAATCAATTAATAAACATTTAAGAGCTTATATGTGCCAGGCACTCTGCTAAGCACTGGGGATATAAAAAGAAGCAAAGGTAGTTCCTTCAAGGAGCTTAAAATCTCATGGGGGGGGGGAGAGACACAACATGCAAGCAAATATAAACAAAGCAAGCTATATGCCATATATATCACATGTATGTTTTATACACACACACACACACAACACACACGAGATAATTAAGAGGGGGAGGCCCTGGAATTAAGGTTGAGGAAGGCTTCCTGCAGCAGGTGGAGAGGACAGAAGAGGGAGAGTGTTTCAGGCATGGGGGACAGCCAGGGAAAATGCCTGGAGCTAAGAAATGGAATGTCTTGTTCAACGGTGTAAATGGATCAGAGTACATGTCAGGGAATAAGATGTAAGAAGACTAAAAAGGTAAGAGGGGGCTAGGTTTTAGAGGACTTCGAATGCCAAACAGAGCATTTTGTATTTGATCCAAGAGACAACAGGATCCTAGAGACACTGGAGTTTATTCAGTAGGGCAGTGCCATGACTGGACCTCTGCTTTAGAAAAATCACTTTAGTGGTTGAATGTAGGATGCATTGGAATGGAGAGACTTGAGGCAGGCAGACACACCAGCAGATTACTGCAAGAATCCAGGTGTGAGGTGATAAAAACCTATACTAGAGAGGTGGCAGCGTCAGAGGAGAGAAGGGGATGTATTCCAGGGATGTTGCAAAGATGGAATCGACGTGATTTGGCAACAGCTTGAATATGGGGTTGATTGAGAGATAATGAGGAATTCATCATGATTCTTAGGTTGGGAGCTCGAGGGACTGGGAGGATGGTAGTGTCCTCCACAGTAATGGCAGGGACTGAAGGCTAGGAGAGTTGATTATTAATACTCTCTTCTCTTTAGGCTTTTGGGATACCTCTCTCTCCTGGTTCTTGTTCTACAGATACACTGATCCTATAGATCACGGGCTCTGTCATGGGCCCTCTTCTCCTTCTATACTACTTGAATTAGTGACCTTATCAGCTTCTATGGATTTAATCACCATCTCTTTGTTGCTGATTCTCAAATCTACCTATCCTGCCCATACCTCTCTGCTGACTTCCATTCTCACATCTCCAACATCCTTTCAGG